GGGGGTCTTTTGTGAGGGCTTGCTTTTATTGTGAAACCCAGAGAAAGAAAAAACAACATGGAAAGAGTTCCTCCAATTTCGAAGAATTGCGTATTTTCTGACATCTCAAAGAGAATACTTCTTATGCACCAAGGGGGAGATTTGCTGACAAGCTTATAGATGTGAAAATATTTCGGACAGAACAGGCCAGTTGCTAATCAACTAGACTCAGGCCACCACAGTCCTCATGGTCTTTGCTTTTGGTTGCAAAATTTCCATGTTTTGTGAGGGCGGAGCCGCAACAGTTAAGCAAGCAATGATATGATAAGAAGGGTTTAGGGGTTGAGTACAAATGTAATAATAAATAGCAATGACAATGCGACCTTGATAAAATGTTTAAACGTTATGTTATAAAAGTCGTTATCATAGTAGTAACAATGATAATCATTATAGTACCTTGATGAAATACCAGAAGTGTTCAGGGGCTGGGCCGAGCAGGCGCTTGCATGTCTGCGATCGATTCGCATAAGCAGTAGCTGCCTGCACCTGGAATTCTCAGATCACGCTTCCCTTACGATGTACAACGTCAGATTGCTGCGCTCGCCCGCAACTGCTCCCAAGGCCTGTGTATCCCTCTCTCTCTTCCCCTTCTCCTCCCGATGGAAGACAATGAGGGGAAAAGTGGTGGTGGGGAGACATACTTCACACCTCCAATTGATCTACGGCCACTTCAATCTGAGCAGTGCAGCTGAAGGATCAGCAGCAGCACCAGCATCAGAAGCTGGTCCTGCGGAATGGAGAAATGGTTACAACTCTCTTGTGGATAAGGTCAGTGGCACAAGCTGCAGTAATTATGGTATATGTCACGACTTTCAGGCTCGTTATCCTTGGCGGAGCTTGGTGGATCAACAGAAAATAGCGGGAAAAGATTTCTGCACGTGTACTGTTCACCACATAAGCTACCGCGGGGATCCCCACCCAGCGCCGCCTTCTTCCTCCCGGTGGATGTGGAGGAACAGACTTCAGGAAGAGGACCGATGCAGCCATCATGGCAATGTCAAGCTGATCCCGGGTTGTAATCCTGGTCCTGATGCCATGCACCTGGTCCAGAAACGCTGTCCGCTGCCTCTAGTCTTGTTCCCTGCAGCCGATGCTAATCGCAGTCCTGGCCCTGGTGTGGTGGAGCTGGTCCAGAGAAGGTGTCCGGCGCCTCTACTGCTGTTCCCGACAGCCAGTGCTAATCGCAATCCTGGTTCTCGTGTGGTGGACCTGGTCAAGAAGAGCTGTCCGCCGGAGTCTAATCACTTTCCCGTTCTCCCCTCGCCATTGACGTCAACCACCCCAACACTCAGCTCCTTTGCTGCTCCTGAGCCTGCTGCTCGGCTATGGCTGCATCGCCTGCTGCGCTTCTATAGCAACTCTTCACCTGTTGCTTTTGACGTCAAACACCGCGACCGCAATTGCACTTGTGCCGCCAGGCCCAGGGTTGACACATCTTCTTCTTCTTCTTCTTCTTCTTCTTCTTCTTCTTCTTCTTCTTCTTCTTCTTCTTCTTCTTCTCCTTCTTCTTCTTCTTCTTCTCCTCCTCCTCCTCCTCCTCCACGCTCTGTTTGCTCGATTTTTCCCATTCCTTCGGTTCCGTCCTCTATGTCTTCTCCTGCTGCTTCTCCTGCTCCGCTGCACTCCTTTTCTTCACCTACTTTGCCGTCTTCTGCTTCTCCTTTTAGCTTGATCACAGGGTGGAGCTGGATACCTCACTCAAAGAACCTTCTAGATGCTAGGACGCAAATCATGCGGAAGGAAGCTGTTTCTTCTTCTTCTTCCACTACTTCTCTTTGCTCTCCTCCTGTTTGTCCTTCTCCTTCTTCTCCTTCATCATCTTCTTCTTTTACTTGTTCGAGTTCGGTTGCCGGTCGGAGCTCCACAGACTATTCAAAGAAGTTTCGAGAACGCAGGAGGCCAATCCTGCAGCATGAAGCTCCTTCTTCTTCTTTTTCTGTTATTCGTTCTTCTCCTGCTCTTCCTGCTTCTCCTTTGTGTCCTTCTTCTCCTTCTCATCGCTCATCTTTGACTTCCTTTCCTTCTTCTTCTGCCCCTTCTTCTTCTCCCTCTTCTTCTTTTTCTTCTTGGAGTTCGACGGATTACGCGAAGAGCCTCGGAGACGCCAGGAGGAAAATCCTACGCAAAGAAGGGTTCATTATCGACATGGACGGGGTTGTGTACCACGGGAACAAACTTCTTCGTGGGGTTGCTGAGTTCGTGTCATGGATGCAAGAAAATGGGAAGAAATTCTTGTTCCTTACCAACAGCAGCGAGCGGACACCGCAGGAGCTGCAGCAGAAGCTCGCCCGTCTGGGCATTGAAGTCGAATCCCATCACTTCTACACTGCGGGACAGGCCACAGGAGCCTTCTTGAGCAGCCAAAAGCCCCAAGGCACAGCCTTTGTCATTGGGGAACCTGGTCTGTTGAACGCCCTTTACAATGCTGGTTATTCTGTGAACGATGTAAGCCCTGATTACGTGGTGGTGGGCGAGACCCGCAGCTACAACTATGAAAAGATCGAGCATGCAGTTCATCTCGTACTGAATGGGGCCAAGCTCGTAGGGACCAACTGCGACAAGACGGATCCCAGCCCCACTTATCCTGGTGAGGTTATTCCTGCTGCAGGGTCGTTGATTACCCCCATCGAGAGAGCTTGTGGTGTGAGCCCATATTTTGTTGGAAAGCCCAATCCGTTGATGATGAGAAGCGCGCTCGCTGTGCTCGGCTGCAGAAGGCGGCAGACGATCATCATTGGCGACAGGATGGACACTGACATATTGGGAGGTTTGGAGGCGGGCATAGATTCAGCCCTGGTGCTGAGTGGCGTAACCAACCTCGAGGATATGAGGAGGTGGTCCTTCGTTCCCCGGTTTGTTCTTCGTGGCCTCTCTGACTTGGCTCGTTCCTCCGGAAGCCACGACACTTAGCAGCAGCAGGAGCAGCTCGGTCAGACGATCCTGATCAGTCCATAGGCCCTTTCTAATGAGAGAGAGACAGAGAGCCTGTGTGTGTGTGTGTGTGTGTGTGTGTGTGTGTGTGAGAGAGAGAGAGAGAGAGAGAGAGAGAGAGAGAGAGAGAGAGAGGG